GCCTAGGGGGGAATTTTGCCATTCAAAAACAGTTGCACCACTGACACACTGCATGAAAAGGCTGATTCAGGCAAAAGGATTTTGTTTCTTCAGAAGTGACAATCCAGAGGGGGGGAGGGGACAATTGACCGTTTTATTCAGGATAGAAATGATATCTTGATCTACACCAGAGTAAGGATTGAACCAGGCAGTTTACATACATACATATATGTCTAAGCCCATCCAATAAACCAAAACAACCAGAACATACATGTACAAGTCTGGATATTAAGTAGTTCCTTACCTTTCAAACATCCTGTGCTAGTTTAGCCTCCTGTTTTGAATTACATGTACATCTCAATATGCATGTATCAACTCTGATCATGAATCACGGAGTGTAATTAAGAAATGTGGTTTGAGTTCAGACTTCATCTGCAGGCAGCTACTGGTACATGTGCTCTCACACACATGGTTACATGTAAAAATGACTTAAGATATTCTTGGATTTTTTCTTTTTTTTCAATTCAAGGAGGATCTGGCTTGAACAGAGCAAGAAGCTGTGACTTTCTGAAAGCCAGTGGTTGGGGTAAGAACTCCAATGAAAGATGAAAAACCTGCACCTGCACGTGAACCACGGCGAGAGAGATGCGTCTCACCATGGTCAGGCGTGAAGACACGTGCTTTCTTCAAATATTTGAATATTGCGTGCTTCATTTGTCAAGGGGTTCTTGTGAGATGTCAAGACCATGCAGATCCATGGTAAACCAATATTTCTAAATCTGATTGATATTTGAAAAGCATCTGGTCTCTCTAAATATCACTGCTGACTTAACTGTTTGTATTTGTACGCGTACATATGCCATTTTACCTGCGAGAATTTCATGACATTTATTTTTTTAAATGTCATCCAGATACTTAAGTTAACATGTAATAAGATCAGATGTAACTGGCCAGCCATTGTCTTTCATTCGATGCTAAAACAAGTTTTGGGAAGTTTGGGTTAGACGCCAGGTGGCTGGAAATGTCTAACCATCCAGCCATCAACTACCGTACTATTGGAATTCAAAGAAATATCAATGGATAACGAGTACATGAAGATGAGAACATCTGGTTTGTTGCTGTTTGTTATCAGCTTTTGAACATTAAAGAGTCATTTAGAGATTCTGATAATGGAGCAATTACGAGCATCTGTATAGGACAAACATCATGGCAATTGAAACCCAATTCCCATAGATACACCAATCCAATGGACCAAAGCCTCAGTTTCTGAGACTCCAATCAGGATTCCTGATCACTAGATAAACACTTTAGAAATCCCTGCTGCAACCAGGGCATACTGAACAGCTCCCCTGCTTGTTCTGGTACCGCTTTTCACTGGTTTCAGGGAATCCACTCTGAAATGATTGGCCAACACGCTGCTTAAAATCCTTGTCATGTAGGCCCCTCAGCTGGTAATGCTCTGCTGTTTAGCTATGCCTGGCAAGAATGATCCTCGAAAGACGGTGGGAATTTCAAGGATGATGCTCCTGCGGGACAGATGAGCTAGGGCAAATAGTATCTTTGCAAAAACTATCTTAAGAAACTGCGACTCTCTAGAGCCTGGTATTTCCAGCCTCATGACTTTTACAAAGTGCAGTTAATATTAACTAGTAATCTGTACACGTGCATGCAAGAGGGATATCCCTAGTTCTCCCTAACCTAAAGTATAAACAAAGCAGGTGGGATGACATTTGGAGAAAGGGCAACGTCTTAGTTTAGTGGAAACTGACTGTGGGAGGAGACAGATGGAGCAGGAGGATTTGTTATTTACCGGTAAAATCCAGCTGATACTAGCTCCCCAGTAAATCTAATACACCTCCATATTAATAAACTGTCACCACCCCCTAAGAAGTCATGTTAAGTAATGCTGACAAATTCACACCTCTGACTGACAGAACTTGACATGGCTCTGGGCACAAGTCTTATTTTGGTTATTCCGCAAATGGCATACAGAATTTCCAGGTTGTCACGCCAATTGTGTCCCCTTAAGGCTCCAGCATGTCTAGCATTCTCTGTGTATCCTATTCTAAGACATAACACAGGGAATCATAATACGTACTCCGACACCCTAGATGAAAATGATCCAGTTATTTGTGGCTACTTTCTTGGTATAGCGGTATTTTGTACCATAAAAGCTTCCGTGTACATGCAAGTTTGTATATGACACAAGGTGTCCACATATAGGCCACAACCTGGCAGGAGGGTTGTGTAATGTGAAGACTTTTCTAAGTTTGAAGAGATCAAATGACCAGGTGAATTTTAAAAAGGTTCAGGACAAAAAT